TGAAAGCAAAAAGACAAAAATTAAATTTAAGAAGCTACAAGTAACCACAATCCTTACAAAATGAGGAGAAAGAAATTAATACAAATAAAGGCAAAAAAGGATGACTTAAGAGAGAAGAAAAACATTAAAATTGCTTAATAAATCCAGATGCTGCTTCCTAGGGAAGCAAATTTAGTATATTAATAGTAAGCATTTACGTGAATCTGGTGAATATAATAAAGGAAAATAAATAAGTTGGAGAAGGAAAATATAAGCATATCGTGTTTAAATAACATATAAATTTCTCTATTTAACTTGATGTTAGTATATTTTAAAAATCTAGATGAAATATATACATTTCTAAGAAAACAGATATTATCAAAATATAATAAAGAACTTCTAAAAATTACCAGAATTATGGGGAAAGATTATTAAAAATTAAACTATTAGTCCTTCGTCCCTACCACTCCTTTTAGCTCCAAAAGTCTCTAGTGTAAGGCTATTTGGGCAGTAATTTAAATACTACCATGGGTACATGTGTACATGTGTATTCATGTATTTTTGTGTGTGTGTCACAAAAGTGAATTATAGTAAATGTTGGCCAACTCTACTATTAACCATGGAAACACTGAAGTTTAACCTTAGGAAGCTTTAGGATGCTTTAAAACAATCTCACAATTTATTGCCAGTCTCTCCTACAATCTATTGAGAACTCTGTACTATTTCTGATGTTATAACTAAGTCAGTTTTTATCCTCTTATAACCCCAAACTCATTTATCTCATACTAACACTTTTCTCTCATTTGGGCAAGTATTTAGGTTCAACAGTTATACTATATAATAAAGGCTAATATGCAAATTGTCCCCTCAACCAGGAGTTCAACTGGGAGTTTGACCAGGAGTTCGACCAGGGGGTGGGGCTGGCCTGACAACTGCCTGCGGCCCCTCCCCCAGAGCAACCCTCCACCCTGATCTGTGATGGGGCTGGCTGGCCAAACTCCCACATCCCCTCCCCCCAGCAGGCCTGGAACTGCCTGATCAGCTATTGGGGTGTGCCAGCTGGACCCCACCCATGCGTGAATTCATGCACCGGGCCTCTAGTTAAGTTGTAATAATAGGTGAGACTGGTTTAAATCCATACTTGTTCTGCAAGCATCTCTAGTCATTAGAGTGTGGAATGTTCAGTTGTAACACCCTGGGGAAGGAGCTGAGTGTGCAATTAAGGCTTGTGCCAAATGATCAATTTGCCATAATATAAAAGAATCAGCCTCCAGATGAAAAGGTCAGATGGACGCAGAGATGCTATTTCACCATGCCTCCTCCCCAAGCCAGCAGATGGACACAGACTGAAAAAGAAAGATGATACCCAATTCTGCCAAGTGTGTATGAAAGCAGGCGCTTGAATAACTTCGCCAGTAGGAGTATATTCAGTGCAACTAGTTAGAGAACAATTCACTACAGTTTGTGTGAACTTTTGCAAGATTCCTCATTAGGAATTACTAGATCAGAGGACTATATCCCAGTATGACATGTGACAGTAACACATCTGAAAGGACCTAATGTCCAATACTGGGGGCACTGAAAACATTAAATAAATATTGTCACATATCAAACCAGCGATGTACATTGTCATTTACCAACATGGAATTTTGATTAGTACACTCTGATATTAGAAAAAAAGTAAAGTATACAGATCAAATGTATTATGATTAAACTAGCTATCTATTTGTGTCTATACATACAGAAATAAAGAAGCAACACACACACACACACACATACATTATCTTAGGGTGCTGGGATCATGATGTACAATACATCTGCAGGTATTGCTTTGATGTGGTGGCTAGTTTGGAGGAAGAATGAGGTCTCCAGAGCTCGGCACAGTGGGGAGGAATCCATGCTATACAGCAAAGCAGGAAAATGACTTTCAAGTTCTCTAGCAATTTTCAGTCCTTCTTGGCATTTTTTTTCCCCCATCCATGCCATTTTTAGGGAAGCAAAACCACTTGTCCACATGAGTTACTGGAACAACTCTGCTCTCTGTGGCCCCTATGTCTGAACTTGGATGTATTCGGCCCGGCTTCGCATGTGCAGAAATTCTTTTCTGTAGCTGAAGTGCAGGGCAGTGATTGAAAACTGGGCTCTGGAGACCAGGAGGCTGATCTTCTACTAGGGTAACATTTGGGATATGGTGCATCACAATTCTGCGCCTCTGGATTTTTTATAAATAAATTGTGGCTAAGTGCAATGCTGACTCGTGGGGCTTCCTGAGATGACACAGGCAAGGTGTTCACCGGGTGCCTGGCACAGAGGAAACTCTGTAAGTGCTCCCCGGAGGCAGAAGGTCACACACAAGTCCTCATCCCATCTCTCTCCCCCATCCGCCGCTGCAAGAAGTGTACAGTGTGTGGATTTATTATTACCAGTGAGTCATTGATGCAAGTGTCTCCCGTGAAAGACACACAAAGCTCTAGGAAGTTGTTTTGATTCTGCACAGGTTTTCTCCACTCGACCTAGCCAGTGATCATTATCTATCGAGAATCTATGCACATACTATGATGGTAATACCCCAGTTTTGGTCACCTGTGTGCCACCTCCCTGGGTTCCACCTGATCCCTGAACCACCCCATGTGCTGTTATTCATGTCACTTGATCTAAGGTAATAACCATGACTTCATAGGGCTGATGTGCTGTTAATCATCACTTAATGTGCACAAAATAAGTGGTAAAACCTAACACTGTAAATATGTCCATTCATGTTCCAACTACGAAAATTACCTGCATTTAAAGCAGAATCAGAAGACTTGAATTATTGTCCCAGAGTATTGGTTAATACACTCTTTTTTTTCTTTTTTAATTACAGTTGACATTTGGTATGATTTTATATTGGTTTCAGGTGTACAGTATAGACAATGATATATTTTACAAAGTTATTTATAATTATATAATTTCAGGTTAGACAATTATATAATTTACAAAGTGTCTGTCTGGTAATTCCAGTACCCACCTGGCACTCTACATAGTTATTACAATATGATTGACTGTATTCCCTATGCTGTACTCTACAACCCCATGACTACTTTATCGCTACCAACTGGTACTTCTTCATCCCTTTCCATTTTCACCAAGCCTCCCAACCCCCCTCCTGTCTTTGGCCAATACATTCTTGAGGTTTGCCCTTGGATACGGCATTTAAACTCTAGACCCCATTTACCTCATCTGGTCCAGTTCACGGGTCTCTTGTAAAAGCCCAGGAAGAAAATATGCATGAACGTGTTTTGTAAACTGTAAAGCACTGCACAAGTGGATGGTGTTGATTTTCAGTAAATGTCCAAGAACTATCCGCTGCTAATGATGATATGTATAGATTTAGCCTCCACAACCAAGAAGCTGGCTTTTCAGAGAGAAAAGAGCTTCCTTCATCCCTCAGCTCCCTGGTGGCTGAGTCACTCAGGACTCCAGCAGGGCGTGCACCCCCAGCCAGGGGAACACTGGGGTTCCCTACTGTAGCAGCACAGATTGTCAACATCTCCCACAGCGTCCAGGAAAGTGAAGGAAACCCGCAAATGCCCTTTTATTATTTCTCTTGACGTTTTTTTCCCCAGTCACACAGCCTCAGTTCTATTTTCTCTGCAGATTATCTTTATGCCATCAGCCTCAGGAAGACAGAATCCTGAACTCAGTATTGAGCAGTGAGGTCCCCAGAGACAGTAGACCTGACCCCACTCATCACTGTCAGAACCTGCAGCCACAGCACAACCCCTGGTATGTCTCTGCCAATCCCAGGACTCCTGCGGCTGTTCATGTTTCTCTAGGCCAGTGGTTCTCAATCCTGGTTGCACACGACAGTCACATGGGGAAATGTTTATAAATACTGACCTGGACCCCATCCCAAAAAATTTAATTAGGATCTCTTGGTGGCAGTGGGGGCTCAGGCATCAGTTTATATTAAAAGCTTCTCCAATACGAAGGCTGCTTGGGAATCACTGCTCTAGGTTAACCGTGGCCAGATGGTAAAGCTGCACCTACTAAGCATGGAGAGAAGTAGGAGTAAAATCTAATTAATAAGCTTCAGTTGGCTAAATCCCATAAGACAGAATAACCAAGTCAGAAATGAAATGAAACAAGAAAAACATGATAGCAACAACTCCTGACAGTCTGCCCACACCACCTTTTCTCACGAGATGATCTTTTCATTTCTTACACAGGAAGATTTTGCTAAACTGTAGATTTCTGGTCTTCACCCCCAAATCTATAGGAACCAGTCTCTGGGGGCCAGAAAATCTGCAATGTACGGGCTCCCCAGAGCATCTAAATCCACAGAACTTTAGCGCCACTGCTCTGGATGCAAGTACATTGAGTAGAGACTGCACAATCCTGTTGACAGTGGAATCCTGGTTGTGCGAGAAGGACTGAACTATTGGAGCTTTAGAATATAAGCACCCAGACGCTTCCATAGGTGGCCAGGTGTAGGACTGGCATTGCTAGTTTTTTTAAAGCTTCCTAAAAACCTGCAATTGAGGACGAAGAGGGGCCGCATACAAAACCTAACAAGCTCAGGGGAGGCCTGCATGGCAGGCCTTACAAACTCAAAGACATAAAATAACCACATTGAAATGAAAACTTCCTAAATAAAGGTGAGCCATGGATGGTAGGCAGTCCTGGGTGGGTATCTTCTTTGAGAAAGGTCAACCTTTACCATAACTGAGCCTGTCTATTGCCTTTTTGCATCTACAATTATATACCTTTGGAATGTCAGAGTAACGCCTTTACTCCAGACCCCTCAGGGCACAATCACAGCACAGAGACCACAGAACCCCTCACTATACCTAGTTCCCCGCGTACCATCTCTATGTGCTGAAATGTTAATTGTTAGCTATTCTACACCCACCAATGTAACAGAAGTGTCTATTTGTATTCCTTTTTATCCATCTTCAGAAATTTCCCCTCTTTCCTTTGTCCTGCACCCTAATCTATCACCAATGGATTTTATGTAACGCCCTTGCATCTTCCCTTTGAGCCTGACGTATAAAATAAGTGGTAAAGCTGCCATTTTCTAGAGCATCTTCTCAATCTGTTGAGATTTTGCTTCCTGATAGTTGTCATCAGTTGTCAAATAAACTCATCATAATTCTTAAGGTTTGGACATTTCTTATGTCAATACAATAGACAGAAAGATGGTGAGCCTCTATTGCAATGGCAGTGCCAATGGGCCTTACAAAGAAAAAATGCAGGGACCACATTGCTACAGTATCTTCTCTTTGGCCAGTCAAGATAACTCCTCTTGGATGTCCCAAATACACCTCAAAATCAACTTCTCTGAAACTGAATTTATGATCTTCTCCCTCCAAATGACTCCTTCTTCAAAGTGTCCTCTCCTCTACATCATTCTCTTCAGACTGAGAAATAGAAGGTCTCCTTCCCATAAACTTGCCTTTTGCACAGAAGGGAACACACATTTAGAAAGTGTTTAAAGCGGTGGGCACTAGAATGTTCATTATTCAATGCTGGAACCCAAGGCTCCCAGGCTTTAATAAACAAATTGATGAACACTGTGGATGGATTTAGGGGCAAGAGAAATGCTGCTGGAACTGAAATATACTGATTCTTCACCTAAAAGTCTTATAAGACCGAGGAAGGGACTTCATGGATTTTCATGTAAATGTGATCGTGTTTACATCTCCAAAGCCCAGGTCCACAGCCTTCTCAGAAATGCTGGCCATTGGGGATTCAGAGAAGGCCACAGGATGAAATGCAACTTAATTCTGTCTGTTAAGGAGAGAGGAGCTCACCCTGCTGGATGCTGTGGGTGGTGAGGCAGCTATTGTGGCCTAAACAAAGAGAAACCCAAGCCAATCACCGCTTCAACTGCCTGGTTTGCTTTTCAGTGGGGCATTGAGGCATACAGATAGATGGAGAGCTGGTCTGATCCGAGTTCATGACTTAACACAGAAAAGTAAGTTTTTCTGTAAGTGTTAAAGGCAGGGAGGGATGAAGCCCCCAGACCGGGCCATCCATTTCCACTCTGTGGGGGGCTACTGAAACTGAGCACTTGGGGGACAGAACCCGAAGAAGTGCCCTGTGTCCAGACCACATTCTTTTAGGTGACAAAAGGGAAAAACAAGAGTCACCTGCCACTGATGGAGAAAAGGCCTCAGATCTCATCCCTGCTTTGCTGTTTTGTTTTGTTTTTTTTTTTTGTTTTTAAATATATTTTATTGATTTTTTACAGAGAGGAAGGGAGAGAAATAGAGAGCCAGAAACATCGATGAGAGAGAAACATCGATCAGCTGCCTCCTGCACACTCCCCACTAGGGATGTGCCCTCAAACCAAGACAACCAACAGGTGCACCCAGTCAGAGGGAAGACCACAGTGAACCCCCATCTCCCCCAGCTCTGTGACTGGCTTCAAATCACTGTCCTCAGTCATCTCAATAAGCACTTAGATAATAACTCAAAGCTGATTAAAACACCTTTGATGGAGCTCGCTCCCTCAAGCAATCCATAAACTCCCAGAATGTACAGCATTTGCTGGGGGAAAAGAGGAAGATGCTGGGTTTTAAAATCAAAGTTATTAACTTGCTATTAATACTGTTTCCCCCCTTTCTCCAGTTGGAACAGCGATAGCTAAAAATTCCAGAAACTGTAACAACCTACTACATTTTAAAGTTCCTGTCATTATATGAACTCTCCTGGCCTTTTGTGGGGTGACTTGTGTGTTCTAACAAAAAGCCATAGGACACTTCCCCCTAAGGGCCTAGGGCTGTGCGATCAACATTTATACTCACAGTGCAGAGCAGTGAGATAAAATTGTATGTAACTCTCTTCACAGTCTAAATTCTGGGGGATAGACCAAGTAGGTCAGTGAGATAGATGGGGGCCAATGGCAGCCACACCATCATTAATAAGTAGAGTAAACATGGATATGACCCGTATCCTCTCCAGACCTCAATTTCATCGACAACTGTAAGAGGCATGGGTTGATCTAGACAACTTTGAGGATCCCTTTCTAAAATACAATCCTATCATCCTATTAGCTTCTTAGCCAGCAGAGCATTAATCAGCTACTTCTAGGCTTATGTGACTGGCTAAGGTGAGACCCAATTCTCTCTCTGCAAGTTACATGGGATGGAAGTGTGCCTCTCTCTGGACTGACCTGATGCCTGACCCTTCACTTTCCTTCTCCCCTCAACTCATGCTCATGCCTGATCTTGGATTTAAACTCTTTGGCTCTTTGCTTAGTTTCAGATTAGTGGTGCTGTGCACTGGCAGCGGTGGGCTGCACCATTTCCAATCCTGCAGATGACTGGAGATGGAACTGTGAGGCGATGGGACTATGACAGGGGCAAGGAGCCAGTCTCTGCAGAGGAAAGTGTCAGCTTTTAATCAAGCAGGAGCCCAGTGGCTGCTTATCTGCGGCCCAGACCTGCAGTTGGAAACTCCTTCTAGATAACTCAAACACAGCTCCAAATCCTCCTTTCTAACACTGAACTTGTAATCTCCTCCCAAATGGGTCCCCTGCGAGTTTCCTCTCTCAGGGAATGGTTCCGTTATCTATCCTATTAGGCACACCAGGCACCTAGCCTTCACCCTTGACACCCCCATCTCCTTTATCTGGTTGATCCCCAAGTCTTATCTTTTACCCCTTGAGCATTTCTTAAATAGGAACAAATCAATGCATTTCACCCCAATATGACCTTAACCTATGCAGTCTTTCTCCTGATTTTCTGCAGTACTTTCCTACATGAGTTGGCAGCATTTCATCTTGGACCTTTAGAAATGCATGTTTGTCCATTTCTCTCCCTCCGCACGGGACTCCACTCCCATCCGTTCTCCTTTCCCTTCTGCTCTCCCCACGATTTCACACCCTTCCCCATTCCAGTCCTCTAGGAGATCCCAGTTCTCCTTGTCATGACTCTTCTCTCCACAGGCCAATACCTCTGCTGGAAGCCCCGCATTCTCCCTCCCCACCCCACACCACTTCCCAGGTCAACTTCTACATACCTCTTCTTCACTCCTTTCTCAAAAAAATCCTTCCTGTCCCTCCTGTCTAGCTTGAATCATCTAATCACACACTTTAAAATATATTTGTATTGATTTCAGAGAGGAAGGGAGAAGGAGAGGGAGAGAGAGATAGAAACATCAATGATGAAAGAGAATCATTGGTCAGCTGCCTCCTGCACACCCCACACTGGGGATCGAACCCACAATCTGGGCATGTGACCTGACTGAGAACTGAACTGTGATCTCCTGGTTCATAGGTTGATGCTCACGTCCGGCCAGGCTCTAATCATACATTTTTATAAGTACAAATATCCATACAGCTCAGTATTTAACTGTGAACACCTTTTTATTTTTAATTTTAGTGGAGTCTGTCCTGAACTTCATGTGAGCAAAAATCATTTTTTATTTTGCTCTCCCATTATGTTCCCAGGGCCTGGTACTAACACACTCCAATATTTACTAAGGGAATGAAGCAGACAGTTGCCAACAGCAATAGGTTTTACTTTTCCCCATCACACCACCAGTCATCCAGGTCCAAGTCCTTGCTTTTAATCTTATGATTTTCCCTGCTAGAGAGTTCTTTCACACAAAGTTGCCTGTACCCATCCCTTTATTAAGAAGCATCTACTTTTCCAAGATGTCCATTTTTTTCCCCATCACTACTTACGTGTCCCCAAAAGAAAGGGCCCCATCTCTTTGGTGAACACTGACATTTGTTTCTCTCAGGTTCTGCTTTAACCCAGGAAGCTAGATGCACTTATTCCTCTCTCTGAACTATAGCCTGTGCATTCCCATGTCACCCCCCCCTCCAAGTCTTGATTTCTTCCCCTCGGTTTTCCCTGTGAGCCTTATCTCTGTTTCTTTCTCCTTTCTCTGCATTCTTATTAGGTTTATTGGCTTGACTACCCCCTACCTATGTACACTTCCTACCCACCCAATTATGCAAACCACACACTTTCCTTATTCCTCTCTCTGAACTGTAGTCTGTGCATTCCCATGTCACCCCCCCTCCAAGTCTTGATTTCTTCCCCTCGATTTTCCCTGTGAGCCTTATCTCTGTTTCTTTCTCCTTTCTCTGCATTCTTATTAGGTTTATTGGCTTGACTACCCCCTACCTATGTACACTTCCTACCCACCCAATTATGCAAACCACACACTTTTCCCTACCTCAGAGCCTGGAGCCACATGGCTCCCTCTGCTTGCCTTGGTCTATCTTCACTTCTCACCTGGCCAACTTTTCTCAGCTTACAGGTCTCCCCTGACCAGCCAACCAAAGACAGCCTTCCTGTTCTCCCCTCTCAGGGCAGCACTGGCTTTCCCTTCCAAATAGGACCTAGACCATCATGCTGTGAATTTTGTGTTTTCCTTTTTAGCATGTGTCCTCCTCAGTAAATGCTAAGCCTCTGTGGACAGGTAGCACCACAGCTACCGACAGTACTAAAACCTTGCAGCGTCCCTGGCACATAGTAAGTGCTCAGGAAATATTGCTGGATGTGGAATTATTTCAACTAATGAATGGGTGTTTTGGTCTCTGAGCTATAGCTCTAAATCTCTCGAGGGCAGAGGTCATATTTCTTATTGTTTTGTGTTCTCCATGGTGCTATATCTGCAGTTAGGTGAGGCCAGAGTTTGTCAATTCTGACACTATTTACTTCCGGGTACACTAATTTGTTGTGTGGAGCTGCCCTGGGTACTGGTGATGTTCAGCAGCCTCCGTGGCATCCACCCACTAGATGCCAGCAGCATCCCACTCTCAGTCAAAATAATCAAAAAATGTCTTCAGACATTGCCAAATATATCTGTGGGCAAACCCACCCTCAGTCCCCCACTAACAACACTGCCTTAAGTGCTGAATCCTATCAGTGTTGATCAATGAATTGCAAACTGACTCAGAAATCTCTGGGTCCTAGAGACCCTCAAACTCTCCCAGGGGTTGTGTTCCACTGCAGTCAAGGAAGTGAACAAATATTTTAAAATACCTGACAGCTCCTGTGAGTGGTGCTCACTTCAAGTGTTAGAAACAGAAGCCAAATTGGCTGGGAGCCTGTGCTAACTTCTTCCTCAGCAATTGTTTTCTCAGTAGCTGCAGCTCATTTGGAACATCTTTGGAACACTAGATGAATTCATATCTTGTTTACTATTCCCTGAACTCACCAATTAAGTTCTCATCACTGTGACTTTTTTTTTTTTTTACCTTCCTGCCCACTCCATCCTCCTGTGGGGGGAGAATCTGCACCTGTTTTATCGCAGGGCTTTCTGCTAGACACAACAGCACCTGAGCAAGGTGGCTTCCTAATAACACATATTTAGTTGGACTCTTCCATTGACTGTGCTCTCACCCACGCATTGTCTCACCAACAACGGGGGTGTCGGGGGGAGAGAGAGAGAGAGAGAGAGAGATCGAGATCTGGTCAAGAGGGAAAAAAAAGTGATTATCTCCTTACCAGAAGTTTCTACATCTGGACTCAGATGCAGAGAGAAAAACCCAGGCTGAAAAAGTTTTCTACTCAATTTTAATGGTAAATAAAAATTATATTGTGATAACTATGATATCAGATGGGTACTAGACTTACCAGGTGATCACTTCATAAGGTATATAAATATCTAATCACTATGTTGTATACCTGAAACTGGTTGAAAAATTAGTGTTAAAAAAAAGAACAGGAGCTTTCATAATGACTGCCTTGGACACTGTATAACCTAGAATGAATGTTAATGTTCTCTGTAATGCCGACCTCTTAAACACCTCTTTGTGCAGAGGGCATGGTCTGATAGCAATGTCCTCTTTACTCGGGGGAGTTAAATATTTGATAAATCTTACAAAGCGCAGGTCTCCTGTTTTTAAATCTTATATACTTCCCACCCTGGCCCCACCAGCTCTTACAAGGAGCAAACCTAATTGGGAATCCCCATCCCCTGTGCTAAGAGTAGAGGTCATTTTTTCTCTCTCTCACTCCTGAATGTAGTCTGCCCTGGGGAAGAGTATGTGCTGGGACCTCTAACCAAGAGCCTGTGAGGATCCCGGGGAAATACACTGCTTCCTGATCAGATACCTCGGTTCAAGTGCTTGGCTGGCTCCTGATAAGCGAGTGTGTGAGCCACAGTGCCATGAAGCATGAAGTGAATAAACAGTAAATTCCCAGAGCCACTTCGTTCAGGGGATGTGTAATAGTGTTGCACAGTGAATGGCATGAAGCTGCACAAAAGCAGGGGATGATTCTATCTCTTGCTTCCAGCAAATAAAATAAAATAAAATAATTCTACCGAGTAGAAGCAGCAGAATGTGAGTGGAATGCTTTTCTCTGTCCTGGTTTGCTCAGGACAACCCCAGAGCATTCCTGTTATCTCAACATGATTATTCTCAGTGCCCCCTCTCCAAGGAGTCCCAATCTGAAAGCTAAATCATATAGTCATTCTAAACAGTGCTCCAGTTTCACCACGGATGTGGTTGGTTTCATGTATTAAGCTTCGTGTATAATCCCATTTACGATGGTCATAGGTTTCCTCCCATAGACTGTTCATGGTTTCAGATAGGTTTGAGGGAGTGGGTGACAAAATCCTCCACCTTCTTCAGAGGCTACAATATTAAATCCCCCCCCAAAAAATGAGTCTTCCACTCACATCACTGGTACCCCATCACCATAGTCGGCCAGAACACAGGGACCAGGGCAAAGAGAAGCAGGCGCAGAGCAGGAGCAGAAGGGAAGAGCCCCCATCCCCACAAGGGATACAGGACCCACATCCACATTCCCACCTGTATCTGTAACCAGGTGCCTAACAAACCTGACTAGTGACTTTAAACACGTTTGTTTCTATCTTCCTTTAAATATTAGCCTTTTGGAGGAATCTTGCCCTACTCCTAGATCAAACCTGTGGGAGGTCCCTGGGCTTTTTGTTTATTTTATTTCTTTTTTTTTGTTTTTAGGGAGAGAGGGAGAAACAGAGAGAGGTTAACCAGTTGCCTGCAGTATGTGCCCTGACGGGGGCTTGAACCCATAAACTTTTGGTCTAAGGCAGTGGTCGCAACTGGTGGTCCGTGAGGTCTGAAAGGTTGGCGACCGCTGGTCTAAGCGACAGCACTCCAACCAACTGAACCACCTGACCAGGGATTTTTGTTTATTTCAATGTAGTAGATATCTCCAAAGTCACTTTAAAACACATGCACTATCTTAATTCCATACATAAAATGTCCAGTGGAAGACAGAGATAAAAATGCTGTATTTGACTGTATTCAATCATCCCCCTTCTCCTTGCCTCTTTCCTACCTTCCTACCCTGAACCCTCCTCCCCATTTCAGGTAGGAATGGGCATTGGTCTGCTGCTCTCTATGTCTAATCTACTCTCTTCAAGAGAGCAGGACAGGGAAGAGGGGGAAGGAGTAAGGCCCATTCTAATGGCTGGTTGTTTTCCAGCAGAGACACTGGGTCTGGCAGATGGTGAAAGAGATGCTTTTCTTTGGTGAAGTCTTCAGAGCCCCTGGCTGAGCTCCCTCCCTCGTGTCCCTCGTGTTCACGACCTGAATGGTTGCATCTCTTGTCCAAGTACCAACTAGAGACCCTTTCCCCAGATGATAGTCAACTGGCAGCCCAACTCCAACCTTTTTGACGTTGGGCCTCCTGAAGACCTCAGAGGACCCCAGTGACATTCCTTTCTGCTTAGTCCTCACCAAACACTCTGGCTTCTCCAGCCCCAGTGCACCAAAGCACAGCACCCTCTCTGACCCAGCATCCTGCAGTGGTCAACTCCTGCCTCTCCCTCTAGATTTCCTAGGCAGAGGTCAGACCCCACTCCACAAAACACTGTGTCTCCGTCTCAGATGCCAGTGTTTGGGGGGTACAGGCGAAACTGTCCTGAAGCCCATTCCTTCACCCCATGAACAGGAAAGAGTCCAGCACTCTGACAACTCATTCTCAAGAAACCCTCCTTCACCCAGCTCCTCACATGCAATCCTGCTGCATGCCTCCGCCTCCCAGGTCCTTACCAGGCTCAACCAACGTGACCAATCTCCTGAAATAAGGAAGATAAGATTGAGTGTAACTTTGTCTTCGATCTCTTTGTAAAGATGCCAACCTACAAAATTCTCTCTTCCTCCTGACCTCTTTGTATATCCTCTATCTGACTCCTCTGTTTGATTGAAGGCTGTCAGCATCCTGACAGGTTACAGAAATCATCTGCCTTGCAAATCAGTACACTGGAGGCCTGGAATGAGGGGAGCCTCCATCTCACACTGGACCTGAGAATCAAAACATCTGTAGCACTGATACCTCAGTAGAAACTATACAGACTCAGGAGAAACTGTAAGAA